TATATATATATATATATATATGTGTGTGTGTGTGTGTGTATATATATATATATATATATATGTGTGTGTGTGTGTGTGTGTATATATAACATTTCTGTCCCCCTCACTTCTGAATGATGGCTACGCCCCTGTATATAGCATACACAGTGTAGTTTCACGGAGCAAACAGCAGAGACGGAGAGAAAGACCGTGGCAGCTGGATTTGCGCTCGCTTGCTCTCTCTCATTATTTAGGTCTTGCGAAAACAAAACAAAAAAACATAATTAGATTATTAAAATGATGCTAATTAACTAGATCGCTCTAAAAAACTGATCTGAAAGATTTAACAAGAGCGGTTTTATTTTATTTTTTCCAAACGTCAACCTGCTCTGGGACTACAGATGATAGCTAGCCGTTTTGGTTCAATCTGGGACATTTGTATGTGTGTCTGATGAAGATGATGAAGATGAAGATGAGGCGTCTGCTGCTCCTGTGTGTGTTCTGCGCGCTCTCCGGTGAGTCTGGACAAAAGATTAGAGAAAAACTGTGTAAACAATGTCAAAATAAATGTGTGATGAAAAATAGAATTAAACTAAGTCAATAAATTAGATTTAAAAATGGATTAAAATGTATTTAAATGAACAAAGTTGATTCAAATGAATAAATGGATTAAAAAAAAAAAAAAGTGATGTAAATAGTGAATAAAAAACTATGTAAACAACATTTGATTGAAATACAATAAAAAGACAATGTAGATAACTACATTTGATAAAATAAATACTTAATAAAAAAAACATGATTGAAATAAATTTGATTAAAATAAAATAATGTATTAAATAAAATTAATTTAAATTTATTTGTAACATTTATTTTAAATAATAAATAAAACATGTAAATAAATAAATACATTTTGACTTAAATATATAATACATCTAAAAATAGAGTACTATAAAAAAAAGAATGCAGTGATTTAATATAATAGAAACTAAATAAGCATGATTTAAATAAATACATTTAAGTAGAATAAAATAATTTATTAAAATGAATAGAATATGATTTTAAAAAAAGTGCATTAGATTAAAATAAAAAATAAATTGATGTAAATATGAATGCTTCAATCATATATTAATTCGTGAATAATAAAATTAACAAACATGTTTAAAGTAAATAAATTGATTAAAGAAAATGTGTTGTAAATAAATAATAACAATATAAACAAAGCTTTTAATTGAAATAAATAAAAACATGATTTAAATAAATACATTTGATTAAAATAAATTGCTCTAAGAGTCAATGTAAATAAATGAATAATACAGTTCAAAACAATTCAGAATCAGAAAGAGCTTTATTGCCACGTGTGTTTGCACATACAAGGAATTTGTTCTGGTGACAGAAGCTTCCAACAACAACAACACACAGATAATAACAAATAAAGTGAATAAAATACACATTTGTATGCAGAGCTGTGGTATATAGATGGAAGAGTACAGTACTATAATGAGTAGAAAGGAATGCAGTGATGCAGCGTAATAGAAACAATATTTATTTACACATTTGCAGAGTGTTAATTGGGTATTTAATCAAAGAAATATGTAGCAGCCTTTTAAAGGTGGCATATCATGAAAATCTGACTTTTCCAGGTTTTAAGTGCTATAATCAGGTCCCCGGTGCATCTACCAACCAAGGAAACGTGAAAAAGATTAACCCAGTAACTTTGTTTTGGGAAGTCTTTTTATTCTGGAAAAGGGGGCGGGGAGCAGCAGCTCATTTGCATTTAAAGAGACAGGCCCGAAAAACAGCGTGTTTCTGCTTCCACTCAAAATAGGCATTTCCAAAATGATATAATAAATGATCTGTGGAGTATTTTGAGCTGAAACTTCACAGACACATTCACCAGAGACTTATATTACATATTGTAAAAAAAGGGCATAATACAGTATGTCTCCTTTAAGTTTGAGGATGGGGGTCTATGATCATGTTTGTGGTTTTGTGGCATGTTATAACAGCGTGTCTCTGCAGTGTCTCTGTGCAGCGGAGCCTGTGCCGAGGTGGACTCAGACACAGAAGCTGTGGCGGGAAAGAGCTTCAAGCTGGGATGCATCTCCTGTAAGATGCGAGGAGAGGTGGAGGCCACAGCAACCGTCGACTGGATGTTCAGGGCGCGAGGAGAAGCCGACTTCGTGCACGTGAGTTCACGATTGGATTTAAATAAATAGTATTTCAATTCATTTAATTTAAATAAGTAAATTGACAAAAATAAATCAAATTTAATGTAAATAAATTAAAAACGAATGACTAAATAAACAAAAGCATTGATTAAAGTAAATAAATAAAACATTAAAATGTTGACTAAAATAAATGAAATTTGATGATAATAAATAAAAAAAGAATAAAAGCCTTTAAATAAATAGAACGTTCGTAAAAGAAATATTTTTAAACTAAATGTTGATTAAAATAAACCAAATTTGATGTAAATAGATAATAATTTAATCATTTTGATTAAAATAAATAAATTGCAAAAAAATAAATTTAAGGTAAAAAAAAAAAAAAACATTTTTTAAAATAAGTAAAAAAAAAAAAAACTACAATAATTTAATTTAATTAAAATGTTGATTAAAAGAAATTAAATTTGATGTAAATAAAAATAACTAACTAACACATTGATTAAAAATGATTAAAATAAATTAAATAAACAAGCATTTGATTAAAATAAATCAATGAATCATTAATAAAATAAATATATTTAATAATAAAACTAAAATATTGATTCAAATAAATAAAATTGAAGATTGATTTAAATAGATAACTAACTAAATTAAAGAGATAAAACATGATAAATCATCACCATCTTCACTAGAGAGAAAGCAGCCCAGGTTTGGGGAAGGACAGGGTCTTTGCTGAACTGTTGACGGTTTGCTGTCTCGAGGACAGATTTATAGCTACGACGGCGAGGCGTGCAGCATCATCGATGAGCGCTTTCAGGATCGCGTGGAGTGGCACGGCAGCAGGAACACCTTGGACCTTCAGGACGCGTCTGTGGACCTCCTCAACGTCACCTTCGACGACTCTGGCGCCTACCACTGCATCTTCAACCGAGTCCTCGGCTACAAGCACTACGAGTTCTCCACCATCGCCAGCAAAGTGGTGCACCTCACCGTCGTGGGCAAAGGTACAGACGCCATCCACAGGAACATCTTTCATCAGCGTGTTACCAAACTGTAATGCATTGCTATATAAACGAGTCATTCTGTGTCAACTCAACCAGAATCTTTTCTTCTGGCGATAGAAATACATAAATGAAGACGGAAGACAAAATATTAAACACTCCTCTTTGAGTGCAATATATATCACCTGCATGCAGAGTCACCTACAGTTGGTTTTTGCTACAATTTGCTCTTGGAGCCACATTGAGATCTCAATATCTCTGGAAATGAACCATCTAGGGCCTTAAAAATGAAGATGGCAAATGAAAAGTTTATGAAGAACCAACCTTTAAAAGGATATTCGGATATCTTTAATATGGTCTAAATCCTGACCCACATTTGGTTTTCAACCATTAAAAATGGGGAAAATTCAACAACTTGCAAATAAAGCCGTGTTGAGATCCCAGTATCTCTGGGACTGAACCATATAGAGCCTTAAAAATTAAGATAACAGAAGAAAAGTTTAAGAACCAGACTCTAAAATAATATTGAGATATCTTTAATATTTCTTGGGTTACAGGCAGACAAACACACAATTGTTTTGATAGAGAAAAAAAAACATGCATTTCTAGTTTCAACATTATTTGTTCTTCAGATATTCCTCTTTAAATACAGTAAATATCAGCTGAATGCAAAGTGACACACATTTGGTTTTCGACCATTAAAAATGGGTAATATTCAACAACTTGTAAATGGAGCTGTATTGAGATCCCAATATCTCTGGAAATTAACCATATTGGACCTTAAAAATAGAGACACCAAAATAAATGTTTATTAATAATTAGAATCTATTATCATATTGAGATATCTTTAATACTTCTAGACTTGCAGCTATGCAAACTTTGGAAAAATAACATTTTTGTCACTCAAGCAGGTATGATTTATGCAGTTGTTTTGATAGAGGGAAATTGGATATATTTCTTGTTTCAAAATTATTTGTTCTTCAGATATTCTTCTTTAAATACAATAAAGTATCATCTGAATACAAAGTGACCCACATTTGGTATTTGACCACTGAAAATTTGTACAATTTACTCATGGAGCCACGTTGAAGATCCTCATATCTCTGGAAATGAACCATACTGGGCTTTAAAAATGAAGAAGCTAAAGGAAAAGTTTGTTAAAAACCTAAATCTAAAATGATATTAAGATATATTTAATACTTCTTGAGTTACAGGCATGCAAACTTGGGAGAAAACACACAAAAAGTGCTTCTTTATTAATTTTTGAAGTGTCACCATTGTCATACAATGCAACAAGGATTTCTGAAGTCAACAGATTTTACTAACAGACCAATCTCTGTGTGAAAATTACATATGATGCTGTCATCTTTCTGAAGTAAGCGTCAAGTACAAAAGCAGTGTTAAGTCGCTGGGGTATATTTGTAGCAATAGCCAACAATACATTGTATGGGTCAAAATTATACATTTTTCTTTTATGCCAAAAATCATTAGGATATTAAGTAAAGATCATGTTCCATGAAGATATTTTGTAAATTTCCTACTGTAAATATGTTAAAACTTAATTTTTGATTAGTAATATGCATTGCTAAGAACTTCATTTGAACAACTTTAAAGATGATTTTCTCAATATTTAGATTCCAGATTTTCAAATAGTTGTATCTCGGCCAAATATTGTTCTATCCTAACAAACCATACATCAATGGAAAGATTATTTATTCAGCTTCAAAAATGCTACAGGAAGATCGCCGCGGCCGGAGAGGAAGCACTCAGAGCCAGCGCGTCAGTAACACACTGAACAAACACTGATCAAACACTGAACAAACGCTGATCAAATACTGAACAAGCGCTGAACAAGCGCTGATCAAATGCTGAACAAGCGCTGATCAAATACTGAACAAGCGCTGATCAAACACTGAACAAGCGCTGAACAAGCGCTGATCAAACGCTGAACAAGCGCTGATCAAATGCTGAACAAGCGCTGATCAAATACTGAACAAGCGCTGAACAAGCGCTGATCAAACGCTGAACAAGCGCTGATCAAACGCTGATCACACACTGAACAAGCGCTGATCAAACGCTGATCACACACTGAACAAGCGCTGATCAAACGCTGATCACACACTGAACAAGCGCTGATCAAACGCTGATCACACACTGAACAAGCGCTGATCAAACGCTGATCACACACTGAACAAGCGCTGATCAAACGCTGATCACACACTGAACAAGCGCTGATCAAACGCTGATCACACACTGAACAAGCGCTGATCAAACACTGAACAAGCGCTGAACAAGCGCTGATCAAACGCTGAACAAGCGCTGATCAAACGCTGAACAAGCGCTGATCAAACGCTGAACAAGCGCTGATCAAACGCTGAACAAGCGCTGATCAAACGCTGA